AGTTCCACCTGGCGACAAAATTCCAACACAAGGATACAAAGCAGTTTTCAAATCTCGGAATGCAATTCCTTAAAATATTAAGTCTCTATTATTTAACCTAAAATAACCAAGAATTTGCAATATACCTAGATTCACTCCGTTTTATGTATAAAATACCGTATTATTTCTAATGTTTAAACTACATCCGATAGTATCACCGGTCATAAATTTTGGTCCATATTGTTCGCCAAATGTGTTAAAAACATGTTTCCATCATCACCATGATAACCCCACGAGCTATCTTCCAGCCTACAATATAAATAATCCATAAATAATTTATTAACAAATCAAGTTGATAAAAAGAATAGTAAAAGTTACCTGGCATTTTATTTAGGCTAGCTGATTTTGTGCAAAACCCGATTCCAATCTCCCTATGGAATTTGAAAAATTGAATTATCGGAAAAGCTTAAATAATCAACTTGTAAACTTTGGAATACTGTTTTTTTCTGTTATATATAACATACCCATTTTCCCCTTTATCTATAATGTCAACTTCAAAATAAAATAATCCACATTGTTCAAAAATTGGAAATTTTGTTCTAATTACGAAGTTTTCATCTCCACCCAGACCTTTCCTTTTTCCTTTATATTTGAAAAAAATTATAGTTACTGCCAAAATAAGTGATTCCATACATGAAATGTAATAAATGCACCTGTATAAGTCACTATTAGCTTGTTTGAACTTAGTCTTAAAAGATTACGTCCATCATCAATATCCCATGCGGTTGGTGATTCCATATTGTTGTGTACCCCTATTAGCAAGAATGAGTTTGATTATTGAAGGATTGATTTGTATGCCTTTTACCTTCTTATGTGGAAGCTTTAAATACGTTGCGAGCTTAATTTTTATTTTAATTTTATTTTTTAAAGAAAAAAAAAACTTTAGATATTAGATGATGTATGCCAATTTTTCATGCATAATTTGTGACCAAAAAAAAAAAATACTGGCGATTTATAAAAAAAATAAAAATATATATGTATCGATCATATGTCGATCATATGATTATTCGGAAATTTGAATGTCCGAAATGCAGTTTTGTACTTCTTTAGGATCTAAATTACACAAATTACACTTGAGAGAATTTAATATACCAAAATTAACCTCTTTACAATATTATTCCTTAAATCTATCGTATTTGAATGTTTATGTTGTTTATAATGATTTATAATCTTCGAAATATTTTATGATGTGTGTGGATACAATCTTAACAGGCAAGCCAACTCTGTTGGGCTTCAAGTAGTCGAACGGTAACCTATTTCGAGAGAGTGGTTTTTTTTTGGTAAAGGTCCGATTTTTCTGGAAGAGGAAATTGCTGCTGCTGATGACGATGATGACGATGATGACGACGACGATGACATTGATAATGGTGCTGATGGTAATGATGACAACATTGATAATAGCTTTTCTGCTGATGATGACGTTGCTATGTAATTAACTTTACGAGAATTGCATTCCTTAGGCCTAGCTTCTCGCTTTTGAAAGGCTCTTAGAGTTACATGCCCAAGGCTCTGGCTGCAGTAGATATTTAAGTTTTTATATGTATCTTATATCTTTGGTCTTGCCATATGAGTTGTACGGTCATCTTCGTATAATAATTACAATTTTGATTATTAAATAAAAATGTATCGATGTACATATTATAAAAGCAATATTTTTTAATATAATTCAATTTCAAGACAATTACAACTTTAATTTTTTTTTTTTTGAATCTTCGTGAAGTTTATTGATTAAATTTTATCGACATAATATAAAGTTAGTCCATTTCCAAAAATTTGTCAAAGATATAACGTAATTAGATAAATTAAGAAATAGTTTTTATTATACTTTAGATTTTGTAAATAAAAATACCGTAAGACATCAACTTTAAACCAAGAATTTTATAATTGCTCATAAAATAGTGATAGCTAATATATGTATAACCATTTGTTTTAAACTTATCAATGAATAAAATTTTTTTCAAAATAACGATACTGTGAATAAACAGCCTATTATTTATAAAAATTTTCTTAGTCTAATAAATATCTAACAAAAATTTCGAGGTCTTAAAAAGCTCAGTCTTCAACTATTTCGTAAGTAAAATATTTGGATTATTAGCAAAAAAGTTAAAAAATCAAAACATTCGATACATTACGTTCATCTGTCAATACATTATTATAAAAAGTTTTGATGGTACCTTTGCTTTATTTCAGAAACTTGTGATATGTATGCTAATATTTGTAACTTTTAAATAAGCTGTTAGTATTTTTATATTATTAATATAATTCATTAACATTTAGTTGATTTAATTGAGCTTTGAGTATTTTTTATTATTTGGATATAGAAATAATGCCGAAAGGTTAGTTAGCTTCTAAATAAAGTTGCCATTTCTGATATTTTTATAGCATCATTCCATACTTTATATACGAATTATATCTTTTTGCTTACAAAAAAAAAAAGAAATTTTATTTTCGAAATGTTCTAACCTAAATTTGGCTGGCTATAGGTGTTTATACCTTATTTAATTTTGATATTCTTTAAATTTTCATTTATATTATGAAGATTCAATTAATTGTTTAATATTTTTTTTTTGAAATTTTGTTTTCGTTCTCCTATTCTAAATCTTGTTACATTAAAAGCCCATATCCTTCAGATCGGATTATTAGAAACGGGTACCTTTTGATTTTTTGTTATTATTACTATTTTTCTTTTATTTTAAATAGGTTTCTGTTGTTTGAACCAATTTCTGAAATTAGTACAAATACGGAAAAGTTATCCAAATTGTTTACGAAAATTTACAGATGGCAAAACATTTAACCGAGTGATGAGTAATAAAAAAAAGTTACTATTGGTAATTTTCAATGCAAAGAAAAAAATAAATATAAATAAAAGCTATAAAAATAGAATAACCATTCCGAAAATCTATTAACATGGTTTTAAAAAATAATTAAAAAAAAATCCCTAAAAAAATTAGAAACGAGAATTCAGGATTAGAGATAGAATAACCATTCCGAAAATCTATTAACATGGTTTTAAAAAACAATTAAAAAAAAATCCCTAAAAAAATTAGAAACGAGAATTAAGGATTAGAGCAAAGTAAAGAAGAATTCCGCAGAATTTTAGCTGATATGAAAGAACAACAAAAAAAGAGAATTCGAGAAAATCGAAGACAGTTTGAAAGAAAACCTTCAAAAAACAAAAGTGAAATGTGAGAAAATTTGCGAAAATTTGTCAAGATAGACAGAAAAAGTAATTAGGTGAGCAAGAGCAAAAAAATAAAGGCAAAATGAAGTAAACAGTTAATAGTAAGAATCAAGGTTTTATTTTAAAAAAAATTATTCCCTTTAATATATATCCAATTTTAAGAATGTCCAAAAAAACAAGACTAAATTCTTTGATAATGTTGATATGTTAGGCAGGTTCGGGAATGCAAAGCATTACAAAAATAAACAATTATAGTCATCATTTTTAGGAGGAGCGGTTAAAATAGATGAAAATAAAGCTAGAAGTATGCTGTAGTAAAGGTAAATCCTACAAAATATTGTATAGAGTTTGAGTTTTATAAAAAAAAAAATGTATAATCGGCAGTTGCGTTTCGGTTAAAAGAAATGATCGCTGAAATTTGTAAACCGCGTAAAATAATATTAAATATTCACATTAGAGAAAGCAATATTTCGATAATAACTGCAAGAACTCGTAAGACGGAAAAAATAGACGGATTTCTACTTTTCTTTTTATATAGATTAGATATAGATGCGGAACTCGGGTAAAATATATTTGCATAAAACAAATCTATTGATAACGTAGCACAGAAATGTTACTTGGAAATGTCGATATTAATCGGCACGACGCATAAACTTCGATCATACGATTGCAGGATTCAACTTATGTTTTTTACAGATAAACAAATAAAGGAGTGTAATAAATGTTATGCATATATAATTTACCAAATATGGGATTATAATAAGAAAGGTTGTATATTTATATACCTCGTTAAATTAAAAAAAAAATTTCAGTAAATTGGAATGAGTTGTAAAATGTACAAGTTGCTTGTCTTTTTAATCTTTAGCTATTTGTTCTTGAGAGCTAATTCATTTACTCCTAAAGGACGTATTGCTCATTCCTCTATTCTTCATCAAAATATGATTTATATTTTTGGTGGATATTATGGTAATTCTTGCACTAATGAAGTATTCCATCTTGATATATATCAAAATTTTAATGCAGAGTACCCTCAATGGACAGAAAATTCGGCAATTGGTTTTGAAAGTTGTTGGGCAACTACTGTTATAACTCATCATAATAATAACCCTACTATTTATTTAATTGGAGGAATTATGCAAAATCAAAATTTTGAAGATTCATTTGCTTCAATTATTTATACATATAGTCTAAGTACAAGACAATGGAACATACCAGTAACGGTTGGAAAGTTGCCAGAAAGACGTAGAGATATTCAAGCGGTCGCTGATCATATGGGCAATATTTATATTTTTGGAGGAGTAGCTGATAAATATTTGGGGTCAGAAGATCTTAAATTTTTTAATGATATGGTAATATTCAATGCTGATTATTTAACATGGTCATATGGTCCTATTGTCAATGCGCCTTTAAAACGGCATGCTTATACCGCAACTTTATTATCAAGTGGCATGATTGTATACATTGGTGGTCGTGAACAAACAGATAATGGAAATCTACGTGAAGTAGATATTAATCAAATTAATCTTTATGATACAAAGTTAGGATCTTGGTCGGTAGTGGTATGTATTATAATTTCCTTGATAAAATTTTTATAAATATATTATTAATTATTGTTAATTTATGAAGCAAGCGAAAAGCAAGTATAAAATTGATTCTCGTAGATTACATTCTGCAGTTCTAGGTATATTTTGAAATAAACTACTTTATTTATTTGATACTCTAACTTACATCTTACATTTATTAAAAGCTCCTGATGAAAATATAATTATTTATGGCGGGGCAATGTATTTTGATCGTGTGAAAGTTACTCCAGATTTGGCAGTTCTAAATACTCAGACAATTCCATTTGAATGGAATGTGCCGCAAATTACATCAAATGTTGGTCAAGTCCCATCACTTGCAGCTCATTCAGCAAATTTATATGAGAAATATATGTTTGTTGCTTTTGGTAAGAAATTTATACATAAAATTTAAACTTGTTTCTTTTGAAGTCTTAATATAACTTTAATGTATTGTAGGAAATATTACTCAATCAAATGCTCCTCCATTAATTGATACAAATTCAAGAGTTTATATGTTAGACATTAGTAACTTTACTTGGGTTAATCACTTTGAAACTGAACATACATCTACCGATGAATCTCCACCAGACCCTACTATGTCACCAACTATGAATACTTCAGAAGATCATTCGAAACATTTAATGCAAATTAGCCAAATGAAAATTATAATTGCTACAATTAGTAGTATTTGCGGCGTCGCAATATTTCTAGTAACCGGAATTGTTAGTTATAAATTTTATCATAAAAGGAAACAATGTGAAACCGTTGGAATTTCTGGCAATGATGCTTAACCATATGAACAAATACTATAAGTTCTTTTATTTTCAGAAAGAAATCTATAAATTTTAATAGTTAATTTTTAATTGTTTATTAAACACTTTTGATTTATATATCGAAAAAAATTTTTTTGTTCAATAAAATTAGAAAATTACTACTGTTGCAACCATAATCATGTGAATAAAATAAATTAGCAATTAAAAATATTAAATGCCTAGAATAAAAATGAAAGTTTAATTCATTAACTGTAGAAATAAATAAACAATATACAATTTTAGGCTTTTAATAATAATATTTTTGTGAAATGATCTACAAAATTGACTAAAAACAACAAATTCATCTAAATTTTATAGTGTTAAAATACGTTTGTTTTTGTTTTGTCATTAGAACCATGTCACCGTCTCATCCCTATTGAAAAATAATTGAACAAAAAACTGTAGTCTGCGATTACAACTGTTTTCATAAAAAAAAAAAAAATAAAGAATGAAAAGAAATTTCTCAGTATATTTCATTAATTTCATTATAGATATAAACATAATTCATACTCCAGTCATCATTGTCTTTATAAATTTTTACCAAGCCATCATATTTTAAACAAATATTTGCCAATACAATTTCAGTAATTTTGAATTCTTTAATAACGCACAAATTTTTTAATTATTTCGATATTTTTAAATATCAATTATTTCTTCAAGTAAATGCTTAAAGAGAGAGTAATACATTGCATGGAATGCGAGTCATCCAGAATTTAAAGGTAGATATAAATCTCTTTTTGTATGATAGTTTAGAATTTTTGTAACCTCCTAATAATTTCCGCTCTACTAAAAAGTCTTCACAAAAAATTTCAATGCTTTTTAATTTTTTGCAACTTTTTAAAATCAATTTTATTGATTCTATGTTTCCAGCTGGAAAAGAAGTGCGCAATCACTTCAAATTTGGACTTACTTTGGAATTTGCTAAATTTAATGAATAATTATACGTTTTATATTAATATTCGCTAAGTTCTGTTAAATTCTTTCCGCTGTTTTCCAAGAATCTGATTAGGTGTTCATTATCTAATTTTTCACGTCAAAATTTTAAACTTGCAATTGGGGAAGTGAAGCATACTGAGAAACTTCAAAACCTTTACTGTAGAGTGATGATAATGAAAGTTCTTGTAAACTGGAAATAATGATAATGACATCTTGTGTCCATCCCAGTCGATATGTACCTTTGTTAATGTATTAGAGCATTTTGTGAAAGGCTGACTAATTTCAGTCCAAATTTAGTTAAAACTTTAGAATGTAATATTTCACGTCCAAGAACTTAAACTTTTTTGAGCAGACATTAAATCTGCTAAACCATTTTAAGACGCTACTATTGAAATTTATCTCCAGTGATTGTAGATTATGACAAATTAGAGATAGCCGATAAAACAATTCAGGATAGTAAAGATGCAGACTTTTACTTTCTTAAAAGTCACGTCAATTCATCATATCATATAAATTTATATATAATTTGATACGTCACGTCAAGTCACAATCATATATAACAAACTAGAAGTCTGCATCCATACAGGATAGAGATTTGAATTACAATAAAAGGTAGAAAGGTTACACAAATTAAATTTAAGTAATAAATAGGTAAATAATTAATTTGGTCCGTAGATTGTGCTAGGATAAATAGATAGCTTTTTCAAGGAATTTGTTTAATAAACTTCTTGTGTTGCCACCTTCCTTTAATGTTCGTTCATATTTTTGTGCATATTTAAGCTACCTTTATCCGAAATTGCATAATGGGAATCCGGAATCATGGTTGAAAGTTTCTTTTTTTTCATTAGTAAGACATTCTATTAAAGTATCAAAATTTTGTAAATTACTCCATAATATTCGAACAGATGCTTCACACCGATAATGGTTCACTAATAAGCATGAACGTAATTCATCATCATTTAAATTTTCAAAAATTTCAATCAAACAATCGGTAGGAGTCGAGTCATATTTTTAATAAAAAAATGTCAGAGAAATTGAATGTTTAACAGAAAATATCATTGTTATTTAAGGAAATTCATTTAGCATCGAACGTTACACGGACATAATTGAATTTATTGTTATAATATAATTATTGTTCTATTATCCTTTTATATTTAAATGTTATTCCTACTTTGAAGATCATAACCATAAATAGTAAAAATACTTAATCAACTATAAGGAACTAATAGCCACATTAGCAGACATTTTTATCACATTTTAATCGGGATATGTAAAATGGAAATAGATTCTGATGATGATTTCTAAAATGATAAATGAATTCAAAATAGACATCTCAAAATTATGTTTTTGAGGAAAAAGACGTGTAAAATCATCCGAACTAATCGGAAAATAAATAAAGAAAAGTATAAAAAATAAACCACATGGTAATTTAAAATCATCTTATAGCCGATCACTCACGCGCATAATTAAATTCATATTAAATATTTGGCAGATCAGATGTAAGTTTATAACACAAAATTTTTAGAAATGTTCGGCATCAGAGGTCACGTGTACTTGAGTTACACTTAGAATATACTGTAATAAAGCTTAAAAACAAATACAAATAATTCAAAAGCCGTCCCTAAAAGAGATGATAACGTTACAATTCATTAGATTCGGTCCGGTCTAAAAAAAAAGAACGAACTTACATCCGGGCCGGTCTTAAGAATGAACTTGAGTCGGTCATAGTATAGATCAAAGTTAATTTTACTTAAATTTTATAAATTTATACCACAATTTTTATATGGGCAAAATTAGCAATGGTATAGTTTGATTTGTACAAGTCGTAAACTATTTTTCAACTTCGACGATTTTAAAAGATTTTCGCGGTTTCAACGATTGATTTCGGTTTCAGTGCCACAAACTCCATCAACAAACAATATTTTTCAAGATGAAAATTTTCACATTTTATAGACCGGTCCTGTTAAACGGTCTAAGACCGTCTTATCAGGACCGATCTGATCCTAAATAGAATAATAAATAAGTATATATGTATCGCAAATAAAACGGACAAAAAGGAGGTTGAAACTGTTGAAACTAAAAAAATTTGTTTTTTAATTCGGCTTATAAGAATAATTTTAAAATCTGTCTATATTATGATAAATACTGAATCATTTGCTGGATCGTTCCAATCAACATAAAGATTTTTAATTCATATCATTGTAAGTTATTAGTTTAATTTTTATTGTCTATTATCTTATTAACAAACTGAACAATTAGTATAAAACAATGATACTTCAATATTTGTATAACGTTGATACAAAATTTAGTTATTAATTATTTAATTCATGTTTTGTGTAACTATCGGAAAGTTCATTTCATATGGGAGCTTTGCTATTAAAAGTGGGTTCCGAGACTATAAATTGATTTTGAGTTAAATGATGATCAAAAAATA